GGTCAGCAATGACGGCCAGCCGGGGACGGGTGGGTGGCGTTTGCCGCTGTTGGCACCACTGACTGGCTTTGGTGACATCTCATTCTCTGAAAGAGTAGCTCCAGCTAGATAAGACTCACCTTCGCTGCTCCCTCCGCCTGAATTCGTTCAGGATATTCTCTAAATCGGCCCTGCGGATGAAATCAGGAGGCGATTTGCCCCGGAGAATCGGCCTAATGGGATGAAAGGTGCAGTTAGGGACGCAATGGGCACTCCCAGGTGATGAGGCTATTGTGGGAGAGGCGTTTCCCACACTTTGCCGAAGTCATTGCTTTCATGTAAGTAACAAAAGCTACTGCTGCAAAACCTACAGATAGTAGTTAGGTAAGTACATGTACACTGTTGTCTATGCAGCCTTGTACGCGTAAAGATCTTAATTGGAACATTTGCCCCACACCCACACATTAACAAAGTCAATGCGTATTACAAGCGGATAAGCCGCCGATGTTCAGCACGAAACCCGTTAGCAATGCGCACGTATTTTTCCCCATTTGTTAAGATTAATCAAAACGCAATTTATTATGTAATTGGTTACTATTATAGTAAGTATTTTTGTCAGTTTATCGAAACTATTGGTTACGTGAAGCGAGCCAAGTGCCCAGGGGCGTCGCCACGGCTCTCCAACTTGTACGGACACATTCTGTCAGCCGTAACACTCGTCAGAGGTGTAAACCCACGCGGGCCCGTGGAGGGCATTTTTCGTCCTCCTCCCCCCACCCCGGACGAATAGTTGCGATAGCCCCCGAATGCCTAGGGGCTTCGGAAAAAATACAAACACATTTTTGATACCTACATTAGGGTAGATGGCAGGTCAGCGACCCCGAGCTGCGGCTTTTTTTGCAGAGTTCTTCAGCAAAGAAGGTGGTGCCAACGCATTATATCAAGATGCGTCGAATGACATATAGTTAGGTTGTTTGAAACGGTCAAGTCTTATGTTGACCTCATGTGACCTCGAATGGCCTTTGGTTGACTTTTGCACATGATCAGTCTCATCTCATTTGCTGTATTTGAAGTCACTGGTCACGATTTTGTCATTTTCTTTTGCTCTAAGCATTCATTTAGTTTAGTTAGAGCCTTAGGATGACAAAAGTCACAGAATTATTATGGCTGACGTATCAGTGAATATCAGTCTATAGAATGATACAGAGTGTAACGAAATTATCCGCACACCTTTTTTCCGCTGTAATTAAGAAACAAACAACCTGAGGTTGTTTCCCTTTGATGATGATATAGCCATCTTTTATAAGATCATATTTAGAAATGCGTAGAACATTCCAGCTACTGGGTTTTTAAGCAGAGTGGGTTTGATGTGGACCGACGCCGTATTAGCATGTGCCTACGCCTACATCAACATACAGTTGCTCTGTCCTGGTGCCGGGTGTCCCCTTATTCACCTTTTGCTGGACAAAAGTCCATAAGATCTCGATGGAATTAGGATGAAAACTACCTATTTCCAAGCCGTAGTCCGTTAGTCCAGAAGGATAAGAGCTTCTCCCGGCGCCACTTCTCATTCTCCATACGGACTAATTTGTCTGACAGGATGTTGCTCCGGTAATACTCGTCAGTCGTCACTGATGGTGGACTCTTCTGTTAATGGGTTGGTCAATGCATGCCGGAACATCGCACAGCAGCTGAATATGCTCCAAATCTGGATCTCGGCCGCATGTTTAACGCCGGTGACGGCCGGGATGTTTGAGTTACCTGGCAGTCAACACATGGCCGCTTTGACAGTTCAAAGGACAATACAGCGCGAATAGCTGCCCATTTCATTACACCATGCCTTGCTTATGTGTTCCTTCGACCAGTGGACGCGTCTTGGCGTGAGGCTAAAGGTGGTGCACCGGCTATTTTCCCGTCAATTTCGTTGTCTTTTTCAGTTTGATGAGCAGAAGAACCAAGGTAAGGGGCGGATAGCGGTGGGCCATGATTTGGGCCCTCTTATCATCGGTCTTGAATTCAAGTCAATCTGCTTTGGCAAAGGGTGGCTTTTGCGGTCGCAGCCGGGCTGAGTTCATCAATCAAGTCCGGCAGCTTATTACGCCTCAGGCAGATGTGCAGTTGGCTGCTGCTGATGTCCATGGAGCTGCTGGCAGACCAGCTTCAGGCTCATTGCCGCAATGCCACAAACATGCTTCCTAATACAAAAAGAGAGAGTGTGCTCCTTTCTGTCCATTGCTTTTGACGAAAACTATGTAGTTATCAAATGAACCCGTCGATGACTCGACTAATTACTCAGAGCAAGAGTCATCTGGCAACGGTAAGTCTTTGCTGAGATGAGAGCCGATACCGGAGGCACTTATGTATACCGCTTCTAACATCAGAAAAGAAACTGTGCGAACAGATAGGACTAACAAATATATGTCCGGATAATTTCGTCACACCCTAAATGCTAGTAGTAAATACTCTTGCGTGACATTGACTTTGGGGCTGCCTTGGATCGTAACTTTACCCACAAATAGGGGACTGATAGGTAAGCGTTAGGCTACTTCAAAACATGTGCAAAGACTGTTTTGCAGTAGTCGAAACTTGTACGGACATTCCGTACAAGTTTTCGGGCCTTCCAAAACTTGTACGGACACTGTCCGTAGTGTCCGTAGTGGTGGCGACGCCCATGCAAGTGCCCAGCCCCCAGCACCTCAATTCGATGATGGGAGTGTTGAGCGGCTACTTACGTTTTACGGATTAGCCAGCCCGTCATGCTCCAATCGACGAAATTGCCTAACGATTAGTAACTACGCCATCCATTAACTCTGCCGATAATTAACGTGTCCTTCATGGCCGACACAAATTTCCCTGGCACGGCAATTCATACCGCCTATTTCCGGACTGATATTACACATAATTACCTGGTGGTCGAAAATGTCATCCTGCGGTCGTGTGTGTCGTCGTCCGTCGGCTCGGATCGCTGTAGGGTTATTGGGTGCAGAGGGACTCCAGCGGCAGCGGTGCCCGGCGCGCTGGACTGGGGAGGAGCAGGCCGGGACATTGCGTGTGTCACACACGACTGCTCACAGTGGCCCGGGCAGTGGCCGTGTCAGTGGGTGGCGTGCAGCATGCGAGAGAGGTGAATGGAGCGTTCCGCCATCGCTCCCCATTGCCCCATAGTTCCACCTATCTTTCCCACTACTAGAGTGGCACGTTTCGTGGGAGGGCTACTGAGATCGGATGAGACGGAGACGGGACGGAGACGGGACGGAGACGGGACGAAGACGGGATGGAGACGGGACGGAGACGGGACGGAGACGGGACGGAGACGGGATGGAGGTGGAACGAAGACAGACGCGGAACAGAGACGAATCAAACGTTCTAGCCCAAATTTGAATCGACTTTCTACTGTTAAGACCTGTTAAATTTTGTACGAATTCGTCTCTGAGATAAACTGTTTCATTGACAAAACAGCCACCTGCCACCTGATAATGCTAACAGAGCGCTACTTTTCTTACATATAAGTTGCATTCTGCCTAAATGATAAATTTTCAGCACCACTCTACTCGCTTAACGGTTATTCCAGTACCATTATGATAACTTATAACACCCGACCGTTCGGAACGCTAGCAATGCTTGCCTCAGATATCAACCACATGTTTTGCTCGCTTAATTTAAACTGGCATTTGGACAGCCGGCGCAAAATCAGATCTGCAGCTCGAAAAGGAAGCCCCACATTCCACTCCCTGGAGGTCAAGGCCAGTAGGTTGATGTCTGATGACCATCTGGCTACCAAGGCAGGTGTCAGCGCTGTCGCTAACGCCAACAGCCGCTCCTCATTGCCGGCTGACGGCGCGTCATATATTGGGTTTGGAAATGTCAGTCTTTTTGTGGGGCTACAAATAGGCACGCCTTATTGATAATGTGGGGAAGTACGCGGGCCGACTGGTATATGGGCTGAATGTCATGCGGTAGTGTGTGGCGTGTGTATGTGTGTATGTGTGTTTTCATTAATTAACTGTATGGTGGTCCACATGAGATCCTCGTGACATTTGTCCCTTTGGGGTCTGCGTGTTTGGCTGATAAGGCACATGCTCGGCACATGCTATGTTGTGTGCACTCTACAATAGAAGGTTGTATATATTCCTAGGTGCGGGATCATATCTATGATCAGTTGATGTGTTCTGGCCAGTCCGCCCCTATATATTCTGCTTAAGCGTATGCTTATTTACGTGCAAGTTTTGATTAGAGTTCATATGTATAATATTCCAACTTTGAAGTAATTTTAACGAAGACTGGCACGTGTGGATAACACTTTGCGGTAGAGATCATTAATCAGAATAGGCTCATATTCCTACCGCTGAATAAAAAGGAAACAACCAGTGCATCTGCTATTCTTGGTTTCGGGTTTCCACCATTACAGTCCACTACACCAGTACCGTCCGTCCCACTAGCCGTGACAGCGAGATCCGGGAGATTTAGCACGGACTAAGGAGTCTTATCTCGCCTCAACTGAAATGGAGCTGCTGCTCTCACTCGATAAATGAATATTCATATTAGAGGCGGCAGCGTCACAGAGTCGAGCACTAAGAACGCGGCATTCTTTTAAAATAAACTAAGAGGCGAGAGCTGAGTTCCGCTCCCTGTTGCTCTTATACCATCACCACCGGTCGTCTTTTAGGCGTATCTCGATAGCAGACATGCATCGCAGGATGACGTTGACTGGCGGATTATAGTGGTAACCTTTCGCTGATGAGTGTCGGCAACTGACCAGTGACCCTTTAACTGCCGACCAATGGTCACAGGACCACTGGACCACTGACCTCCGGCTGCTGACCATCCCATCACTGACCTGCGCCCCACCCTTCTGTCCCAGTCGCTGGCCGCTGACTGCGCTCCTCTTTCTGCCCTCTAGCCGCAGACCCGTGCCTCTCCGTGTGTCTCCGGTCTTTAACTACCGGGGTGCTGACGCCTGACTGCGTCCCCCCCTCTGCGCCCCCAGCCGCTGACCTGCGTCCCTCCCTCTGCGCCCCCAGCCGTTGCTGCAGACCTCGTTTGACCGGCACTGCTCGCTGGACCGGCGGCTGGCTCCATACGGCCGCCGCTGCTCCTCCCTGTCCGCCTACCTGAGCACCGAGCCCAGGATGATCCGCAACAACAGCGACCCGGCGCCTCCACACCCTCCGGGTCAGCCCCGGCCGGGCGGTTACCGCAGCAGCATGCAGGAGCTCCGCCGGGAGACCGCTCACTACGGACCCGACCTGGGGCCGGCGGTCGGCCGACCGGCCCGGCCCGCGCAGGACTCACCGGTGGCCGTGGCGGTGGTGCAGGGGGCGGCAGAGACCAGCGGAGTGTCCCGGGTGAGCCCGGCGCCGCCACCGGCGGGCGTTGGACGGGGGAGTCCCACCGTCGCGAGGAGAGAGACAGGGAGAGAGGTGGGACTGACCAGGGGTCGTAGTGTGGTGGCGGAGGAGGGCAGACTCGCCGGGGAGGCCGGCGGCAGGCGCGCGGAGCCCAGTAGAGCACTGGAGCGGCCCCGGGAGCTACTGCTGAATCTTGAGAGGGATGGTCACCCGGCCGAGACCGGCACCGCGCCAGGAAAGGCGTCGGAGCCGGACAGACGACAGAAGCTCACCAAACCGTTCCGCCTGACCTGTCGGGAGACGGAGACCGAACCAGCTCGGGATTCAGAGGTATGACGTCAGACCCACGACCGACGTCACCAGACTGTGTGGCGTCATTCGGCCGTGTCACGTTACACGTTATGACCTGCCACTAATTAACACGACGTGCCACCGGTGAGATTCCGAACCCGGTAGCAATCCAGAAGCCTCAGCGTCCTGGTGGAACGTCATCAATTCGGGGCGCACTCCGCGGCCCGCCCGGGTCTGATCACGACGGCGCCACAAGATGCGGGCTCGGGGCGTCTCTCAGAAGGCTTCCCGGCCGCCGGCGCCGACAGCGTCCGCTGTCGATAGTCCGGTGATTACCTGCTGCAACCGTACCGCGGCCCCTTCTCGGGAGCGGAAGGGGAGGGGGAGGGGTAGCTGCGGACAGGTGGCTCGGCGACGGACTCTGTTGAGCTGGGTTGAAACTGAGCTGAGCTAGCTGAGTAGTGAGTTGAGATGGACTGAAATGATGTGGAAAAGGGTTAAGTGAGGCCGTAACCGAGCTTCGAGAAGCTGAGTTGGTGCTGGACTCAGTTGAGTTGTGCTGAACTGCAGATGGAAGTCTCTGCAAAACTTTGAGCAGCACAAGGACCGGGCTTCACTGCCGTGGTAATTGTGGAGAGGGTCGACCTTTTGACGCGCCAGTTATTTGGCAAGTGCTGACATGCGTGCAGGTGCTGCGGGAAATGTGACGAACTTCTTCGCCATTGGAGATGTTCAAAGACGATTATCAGTGTCCATTTTGAACGCTACAATGCGACTTGTTTAGAAGGACGCACGTACTGTCAGTGTCGACAATGGATTGATCTCAATTTGTGATCAGCGAGAGTCTATGTGCGGAGCATAAGTGAACGAGTGATTCCGGTGAGATGTTTTGTAAGTGCGGTGCCCGTATCGATCAGTGAATTTGACCACCTCCCTCATGCCACCTCCCACGGTACGATTATCACTCCTATGTGCCGCAGTGCAGTGACGTCCTGCGGCACAGTCTGCCTCTGCAGTGACTCTGAGCGCTAGTCCCGACTCAAAACCCACCGTGACCTCCCCCGGTCCGCCGCGGACACATTTTCCGACCACACCACCGGCCCTGACCACGATCGTGGTCGCCGCCGCGGCCAGATGGCCCGCCGCGTCCGTCCTGATTAGGGCTGCGCACATTGGCCCCAAACAGATACCAGACGGTCGGCGGGTCGGACGGCGGAGGGCCGGTCGTATTTCGGCGGCAATAGGTCACAGTAACGACAGTAAACGCCCGTGTGAAGGTCAAACGGCTCCCGTTACCACCCCTGGGCCCCGGTCTATCGTCTGACTCAGGTCGGCAGGATCAGCGATCGAGGTAAATCGATCCTAAATCCGCCGTCAGTGAGCTGTATCGGTCCAACGCACTACAGTCCGCCGCTAATTCACCGTTACAAAGCCATCTTCTTTCCAAAGTCCCACCGTTTCAAATCCATCGTCCGTAATCCACTGCAAGGTCCGCCACTACAATTCCATTGCCGGTCAAACGTCGCCGTGTCGGGCAATCCATCGCCCGGCGCCATTTAGGGCTATTAAATTTACACAGCACGTGTTGACACAACCGTGCGAGACGACCTGACGCGAACTGTAATATCGTGCACGCGTGTGACGTGATCTTTACAGTTCGGACACGAAACGTTACCGGCTATTTATGGTTTGTGTTTCCGTCATAATTCTCGTTTTAATGAAGTGTTTTACTGAGAAGGATGTTTGCGTTAGCTATCCATTGTGTACAGTGCACACAATCATAAGGGAAGTGTCCTTCCATTAAGCCATCAACTGCGGCATTAACCATGTTTTGCGGTATTGATTAAAAGCTTCCGAAATTTCGGTAGCATATCAGAAAAGGTGAAGACATCTGCAGAATTTATGTAAAATGACATGATCTCAAATGGTTGCTCCTGCATCTGAGAACAATGCATGAATGCTGACCCTATCATATCGACCTTGTGCCGATAAACGCGAATGTGTAGACAAGTGCTAGCATTTATTCACTCGATGTATATACCATATCACATATCTCGGCAGCTGGCACTCTTGTCTCGAATTTAAGCCCCTCTGTTCTAGCGTAGACCGCCTAGAACAGCAGATCATGCGCCCACACCCTCGTGTAACTCCCATATTGTGTGATCTACGCGGGCACTGTGGCTGTGCTGAGCGACTTGTCCGAGCCTGGCGCGGCGCTGTGCGGCGTGCGATGGCGCGGTCCGACGTGAAGTGGCGCGGTGCGACGTGTAACGGTGCGTGTCGTCTGCCGGTCACCTGGCTATCGTGGTGTGACACCACCGTCTGGGAATGAGTTATCGATTGTTGGACGGAGAGTCACTGTTTGCAGACGGTCATAGCGGCCGTCATTGCCGACAATTGAGACGGGAGAGACGAGAGACAGAAAGACCAGATACGAGAGACGGAGGAGACGGAGACACAAATCTGAGAGAATGAGACAAACGATGGGAGACGAAGAGACGGAGAGACGGAGGAATGGGAGACTGTTGGGCTGAGACAGAAGATGAGAGGCAAAGAGACTTAGAGACGTATACAGACGCGACCGGAGACGGGTGTCTGGTGAGAGAAGTAAAGACGAGAGACGGAGAGACGGAGAGACAAGGAAACGAGAGAGGTATAGATGACAGACGAAAAATGAGCGTCGGTAGACGAGGTGTGAGTGAGACGGTATTGTGAATAACTGTTGTCTACTTTCGTATCCACCGAAACGCGTCAAATAATCAAACCGTATTGCGCATGTTTTTCAAACGCGCGAAATACAGATTGCTTAAACAATCGCGCATGTTGTGCGGGGAACGATTAGTAATGAATGTGAGTGGACTGTGGAAGAGCGCCAGATGGTATGGCATGCCTCTTTACGTTATTGTTTTCTTTCGAAAGTATCATTGAAAGGAACATGTTTTCTTTGATGTGTTTATCTTGATAGGGCGAGTCAGCAGATGGCAACAAGACCTCTTTCGGACATGCCTCGTCATCACTTCTTGACAGCTGGCGCGGGATACTGTCGCGTCGCCGGCTTGAGAATTTTCAGTCTCTATGGCCACGAGGTGTCTTTTCTCGCACGTGTCATTGATCGGCACTTCAGACGAGTAGGAGCCGTGCCAATCGACTTCGATCTCTCTCTGTCTAACATTCTGCAGACAGCTTTAATTCACTAACTTTGAACAGAAACCTGAGCAGTTTGCCCCAGGGAGCTTGGCTTTCTGACGATTGCTTCAGAATAGACCTGAGGATCGAACGGCGGGTGAAGATTGTTTTCGGTGTCCTTATATAGACCAAGAGCGAAAAGTGAAGCTCTGCTCCGGGGCTCTCTTATGCCAAGTTCTGAATCTGAACTAGGCATTATTGATGGATGGTTGCAAATTTCTGTTCCGTTCTGTCTCGCGCTAAAACTCTCCGGTCACTTGAAGGCACTGGTCAATATAAAAAAGTTGTCATTGATATTGAATCGGTATTGAATGCTTTTGGGTTCCATAAAGTGATGGCTTATCCCAGCAGCTGATCAACCAAGGCAGTCAAGTCTTTCAAAGTTCAAAGGCATACCGACTCCCAACACTTTTTGTGCTCTTTTTAGAATCGCACACATCAGTCAGCCGGACGGCCGTAGGCTATTAACCCGAGTACGAGCATTTCAATCCCAATAAGCAGCTTTCTGAGCTGCCAGGAATGCTGGTCCCATACTGGGAACATCAATTAATTATTCCCAGCCCACTTCATTTCCCGAAAACGTGCTGGTCTAGCTACAGTGACAGATCAAATTTTACAATTATGTTAATGAGGAATCCTTGGTTAGGGGCAGGCGTTTCGTTCAGCCCAGCCAACCTGCAGGCGCCTATACATAAGAAACGTTCACGGGAACATTCCAACAGTTAAATGTTTTTCACTTGCCCCAGTCTCACTTTTGACTCTACACAGTTTAAACCACGGACTATGGCTAGTGGCAAGTGTGAGAAAACGAGGAAAGTGGGGTGATTAAAAGTGGATATATTCCGAGAAGTGACATTCACACTCTATCTGTTTAATTGTCCGCGTTCCAGCGCTACAAAAATGTAGCATAGGTATATGGCGTACTGCGACGCTCAACATTGACTTTTGTGTAAAGGCTTACGCCATCAAGCCCCTGAGCTAAGTTCCTCTGCGATTACAGAAAGTCACAATCTCATGGCGTCCTGAATCGGTCGAATCTTCCATACCATTGGAATTTGAAGCAGCCTTCCCTGTTCTTTTCGGATCTGACCTCTCCACTTGGTCCTGGTTCAATTCTCGAAATGAAAATAAAAGTCACAAGTCGACCATGAAGTGTAGTTTAGGGCCCTCAGCGCTGCGCAGGAAACGCCATTATAGGTTATTTTGGCACACCTGAGCTCGGACGACATTTTCCAACGGCTTTGAGGGAATCGGCTAGATGTCAATTATGCATGTAAGGTTTCTTATCATTCCCAAGCTACCAAATATATTTTAATAAAAGATAAGCGGAAATTGGTACGTTTACCGGAAATGATTATTCGTTAAAAAAACTGCAAGAAACATTTAGCATTACTGGCGTTGTTCAACTAGCTCAGCACCCAGATTACCGTCCCGACTTCGTCCCACCCCTGCTTACATAACTAAATACTTCATAGCCACGGAACTAAACCACTAACCAGCCCAAGCATCAGCGTCCAACTCAGTCCTACCAGACAGTTAAAACACCAGCTCACAAATGTCTGAGATTCCAGCCCCGACACCGGCTCAGTGTTCAGGCCAGTGTCAGTCCACCGAGGCTGCGGACGGACCAACCCCGGCACTACATCAGCAGGCGGTCGGCGCCACTGACCCGCAGTGTCAGCGTGCCAGCGTGGCAGTCGTCCGCGCCGTCACGGACCGGCCGTCACGCCATCCAGCCGTGATGTCCGTGTCACGGCCCGTCACATTGTTCAGGGAAGGCTGTGACATCAATGTGACGGAGTGACGCAGCTGAACAACGCATACCGCGGCCGCAAGACAGGATCCGAGAGACAGGAAATGATAGCGAAGAGTGCTTGTATAGCTGACGCTAGATGGCAGTAGTAGTCGGCGCCTGAAGTGGTATGCTGTGCCGCACGACTCCTACTCCGCTCAACCGATACTCAGTACTCACTCAGCCAGAGCTACGGAAAGCGATCTTTCTTACCAAATGCGTATTGATAGGTAACTGTTAAACTGGTCAGATAGGCACTTAAGTCAATTATAGTTCGTTTTTTTCAAAAGGACTCTGGCTCCAAGTATGTTTTTCGAAAAAGCACGCGTTTTAGCGAGCAAAACGAGCAAAAACTGAACTTGAGAAACTCGAACGTCGCCTTATTTTAACATGTGAATTATTCCAGATAATTTCCATATGTGCGTTTTGGAACCAGATTTTAGAACAGTGGTGACGTCATGCTGTCGAACTTGTTTTGCAATATAGCGTATAACTATCATGGATGAAACCGCTTACTCGATTATAACCTCGGCAACAGTGAAAAACGAAGTTTCCCCCCAAATTTGTCGAAACTTTGTCCCATCGTACGGACATTGAGTGCCTGCTGCCACCAGTGACGTCATCATAGTATGCTAATTTTTCAAGACACAATTTCCAGGTACTTACCGTGCACAATTTGAAATCGAATATTTTTTCGGTAAGAAATTCTTGGCCAGACGCTGAAGCTGCCAAAACTCACGTGAGAGCTTCGATAAGGAACTTGGAGCCAGCGTCCTTTTGAAAAAAAAACGAACTATAATGTGCTGAGTTTTTGCTTCACTAAAATACTTATGGTGAAATAATGGAAGAGGCAAAGCCAGATGATGCTCACTCGCCAATCGACTCGCCGCCGGCCCTCTCAGGACGGTGTTCCAGTCCAGCCCACTGTCCGCAGCGCGGTGCAAAGATCGGCCTGCACGCACTGACCGGACCGGCCGTCGATAATCAATGAGCCCTATTGGACGGACGTGCCGCCCATTAGATCCACGGACAAATATAAGCACACAAGCTAACAACAGCTCGGCGGCGCCCGGTATGTCAGGCACGCCGCCCAGGCAGGTGAATGTGCCTCCGTGAGGATAGGTGATTGGAAGGATTTGTTACGGGACAAAAAGGGGAATTTTTACCTACGAAACATCCCTAGGTGATGCACCTAATGATCGGGTTCAATTGCTATTGACGTTGAAATAATGGACATAAATGTCGAAGCGATAACAGTGGAGCAAGGTGGTTCAGTTTGAAGAAATATTTCATCTCAAACTTTTGCACAGTCCATTTCAAGGATAAGGAAATAGGACCAAGACAGATATCTAAAGCAACTTCGTGACCACCGACCATTTAATTTTACGTGAAAGCTAAGCTTCTGTCAGTTTGTGAATCAATCAAACTTCAATACCTATCTTATTGACGTTTGCCTAATCGAGCATAACTATGTATATACGAGTAGGTAAGTATACTGAAAAGGCATACATCCGGCATTACATAATGTATAGTTAATAGTTAGTTACCCCATTTTACCAATTCTCATATCCGCTGAATGTCTTATCACACCAGCACACGTACCTAACGATAACAATTTCCTATTTTACCGACATTCGAACTTATGTGCATGCACGTTTACTGAATTAGCCTTCGACACAACTAAGTTCATGAATAGCTAAAACGTTCCTTTGCATGGCGAAGTCCATTCTTAGCTCGCAGTCTGACAAACATTTCACGACAGCCTCTGTTGTGCGGTGAGTTATGACAAATGGCATTCGTGTCAATACAGACCAAGGTCAGTCAGTCAATATCGGCCGAAGTAGATATGGTTGGCTTTATTGTGTGGCTGTGCCTTAAACATTTTGAAGGTTAGGTACTGAAATAAAAACCAGTAAAAAAGTTATCACTTTCAGGTGATCAATCGTTTAAACATGAGAATGTTGTTTTCATTAGGTAGTGAGAGTTATTGCCGACACATGCATATTGATATGTGAACATTATACGACAAAGCAAAAATTCATTACTCGTCCCTGTTCACATGGACGAGGGTAAAACAAACCCCTTGTGCAGCACCGACAGACAGTTGGTTCCACGTACCGCCATAATGTAATGGCCGGACCGCCAGCCCTTCCAGCCGGCTGCCATACAATGGGCCACTGTCAGAGGGTCAGAGAGGTCAGTATTTGACGTCTCGAGCGGCAGGTTCTCATTGCAGACCCGCCGTCTTTGTCTGCACATTCCCCGCTCGGGTCACGACACACGGACTCATGTCCAGCAGCACCGCCCACATATTGGCTATATTTGACCCGCTCCTGTTGCCCCCTAATGCGTCATCAACGGTTAACCATTGAGCCGAGTGGTATCGTGTCCTGTGGCACAACTTGGCAGCTTAGCAGTCTGAGCCGCTTTACGGCAACAGCCTCTTAGTCGTGCTGTGTTGAGGACGTATTATGAGTCGAGTCGTCGGCGAATTAGGAGTGTCTTGGAAACGGGTGAGCTGCTGACAAGTGCGCATATTGTAGGCTGAACAGTGGACGGGCAGCTCATGATTCCTGAATAGTCGTGTCGTGTCATGTCGATAAGGTTAACTTAGCCTCTATTGATGATTAGATTACTCCTATGCGCGGGAGTGTGCAGGACCGCAGGGGGACCTGGAGTTGCCCGACTATAGGAGGCAGAGCATTACAAAATAAGTCACTTGCAATGGGAATTCTCACCAAACTAGACTACATGGTTAATGTTTCAAGTCGTCGTGTGTCACTTCACGCATGGCGCAATTGAAAACTCAAAACAAACACCAAAGCTTATGCAGCACCGTCGCTGTCACTCAAACCGGTCAGTCAGTACCGCACACCGACCCTCGCCGGACCGGAAGAAGGCCCTTCCGTTTACGCCACCGTAAGCTCTCTATTTTCAGGGGAGAATGTTTAGCGTCGGATTTAGGCTCATGACCTCACGGAAACGTCCTATTTCTTGGCCGCGTGAACAGCACCTGGCGGCTGAAGTGTGACGAGCTCCTTACCATGACACGAACCGAGCGCAAATGTTTGATGTTCTCGATCGATACACACAGGGGTCGTATGGATTTTCCATGGCTGATAGCGCCCGTACTCATTCGGCATTGCAGACTGATGACATGCGGGTCACAATTTCCAGGGAGCCCTCTGTGAAGTTGCGTGATCACGCGATTCGACGGGATGATGCCTGGGCATGAAATGTCAGAGTTGCTCGTCTTCATCAGTAGTAGTTATCGCTCTGGGTATGGTCAACAAGGCGGGCTATGTAGCTCTCTGTGTTGTTACGCGGGAGTCAGAATCTCATCATGTTTATACTGTCGGTACTCGGTGTAACATGAAGCCCTAGGGCATAAGCAGCATGAACCATATCCCGTTATTAGGTCGCCTACATGCTGCTAAATTTCACTGCCACGAACATAGCTGCGGTACGAGCAGAGCCTGTCTCGGATATACAGGAAATGGCTGAGCTGGTTAAGGGCAATCCGAACAGATGGTGACAGCATGCCAACACTGTGTCCTGAGCAGCGGAGAACGCCGAATTACGACGGAGTTGATGTGGGACCGGTAATGAGTAATTTAGTTAAATTACAATATTTTTAATGCCATCATATACACTGTATATGATTATACAGACACCAAATACCGTCAAAGTGGCGCTCGTTGCCTATGCCTCAGTCGCAATCAAAAGAACAGAAAATCTGAAATAGCCCGTCGGTCACCTCTCTGTGCGTTTTCAGCCCTCACAAGCCTTCGAACTTCCCTTCGAACCAGCTTACGCGGTAAGCGGTGTCCGCCGGTCCGCGGACCGACCCCCCCCCCTTCCCCAGCACCGGAGCCCATCGGTCGGTCGCCGCGTCCGTCCCCAGGTGGCCCCGCTCCCACACCGTTCCCTGACCGGCCGACAGTCGCTGCCAGTCCAACCCTCCCGCTTTTAGTAGTCGGCGGCAGCCGGAGAGCCCACCCATCTCCGGTCCGGACGTCAGATGTCAACTCCCACGGCTCAACACGCCACGCTGCGAGAGACGGCTGTTTATTAATTCCGCTGGAACTAAACCTGAACGCGATCGGTCAAACGCAAAATCGCTTTGGACTGGACGGCCAACCGCCGGAGAGCGCTACACTGAGATAACTGGGACCGCAGACCGGCCACGGTAACACGCAGACGGTCTGACGTCATCACATTGGTGACGTCACACACATACACACACAGACGGGTCGCAGCGACAATGAAAGCTCGGAATACCACCTCTCTGGCCCGAGGCTGGCCGGCTCTTTCCGAGCCGTCGTCTCGGAGTCACAACACGCAGTATTCAGTCCGCACAGCTCAGCCGCCGCGACCTCTCAACACAGAACAAACAACTCCTCGGCGTGTCACATCCGAGCCGTGACGTCACAATATCCAACACGTCATACATACGTTCACATGACGTCACACACGTAACGTATCGAACCGCACGGGTTCGCCTTTATTGAAGTTCAATGTGTCTCGGTGCTGGGTTCGCCACACACTCTGAAGTTGGTCCGTCACGAGGTTCCTTCTGGCAGTACCATCCCTGACGGTAGTTCGCCCCCTCCGGCCCTCACATGAGAGCAACTCCGACCATCCGGGAGATCCACTCACTTTGGAGCGTTTGAGCCACTCCGATCGCCTTACCAAGTCTGAGCGAGGCGACACCGCTTCTTCGGTCAGCTTTGTGACCATACAGCCATCGTCTCGGATGCGATGGCAAGTTAGTTGAGTCCTAGTTTCATCGCCTATACCGTTCACTGGTCATCGGCGCCTTGAGAATCACGTCGTGGGGTAACGTCCAATGGTTCCTGCAGACATGGTAATAAACGGCGTATGACGTCACATATTTGTCAGTGATGTCACACAACACGAGTCACGGACCGGATCCTTCCAGATCAGCAGTCCGCTGCGGCCGTGCGTCCTCATCCATCGACCCGCCGACTTCTCTCCATCTCAGCCAACCTTCCAGCGCACCGAGGTCCTCACTGAGTTACGCCAGTACGGCAGCTCCCTCGAGCCAGGCCGTGGCGGGCCGGAGTAGGGCTGGATGCAGTCGAGCCAGGTCATGTCGCGTGACCGGTGACAAAGTCCGTCATATATCCTAGACGCGTGCGTCGCGCGGCGGCGGCTCCTACCGCGAGTAGGCCAACTGCTGTGGCACGCCGTTCACTATGTGCTGCTTCAGCACGTCGTTCTCGTAGGTGTCGACCGTTTCCCGGCCGTTCTCATACACCCTGTGGGAAGAAAGAGAGGAGAATCAGCGAGAGGGATAGAGGGAGTTAATGAGGCATACAAGTGCGTGGTAGTGGAAGGGAAGGGTGAATGCATGAAAAGGAGGGACGAATAGGGTTAATCGAGTCTGCTTCCATTCTACTTGCCGGAAGAGGAAGAAACAGCGCATGTAAGACTCCGAGACAGCCTATTGTAGGCAGAGGATAGACGTCAAAGGGAAGAATACGAATCACGGCAGTTTTGTTCCGCCTCGCGGCCACGCTGACAGAGAGGATAGGCTCCCTTTGTGCGTGGTCGCTCTGGCGGGTGGGGAAGGAGCGACACGGCGGCGGGCGACAGGTGCGGCAGGCAGAGTCCGTGGGTCAATACACACACGGCACACACGTCCCACACCCACTCACCACAGTACACACACATACATACAAACATACACACACCTCACATGGGAAGCAGACGGGGAGCCGAGTGAAAGTCAGAGCAAAGAAATTGAAAATAGAAGAGCTTATGACTGCTTAAGGAATGAAAAGGCACAAATGAAGAGTAGTCGTGTTTACATAGGGTTCCCTTAATCTTCCCCTATTTCTCCCCTATTTTCAGATCGAATTTTAGGCATCATAGCGCTCACGTGTAACGTTGCTATGGACGCTATTGTTGTTAGAAGCATACTAAGCATCGTTTATGCTGTAAACAATATAAATATTATTTGATATTATATTATATTATCAAATATTATTTGATACTCGAAATTCAACAATTCATATTTTAAATATGGTGATGAAATTGACCAGTAACATGGCAGTAAGATGTATTTTTAAATAACAAAATGAGGCCGAAATATAGAACGAGCTTTCGTCTTACGACATCATCGGGTTCTGGCTTAGCCGAGGCCCGGCACATATCAACGCCCGGCACATATCAACCAATCAATTCAGCAATAATTCATATTTTGAAGTAATTTTATCCTGCCCTCCAATTCCCTCTTTAAGCGACAAATAGGGGAGGATTTGGTAGCGTAGCGCCTTTCCAAAAGCTGCTACGCTACCATATCCAGTGGTTCTCAAACTATCACATCACAAAAGCGGCGTGCTGATTGGCCGGCAGTTCCGAATCGTCCGACTGGTGGTCCCCGACTCGACAAGCGCACGTGCGCCGACTGAGGATTTTTAAGTGGCATTAACCAGTGCTGCCAGATTTGGAGGATTTCCGCAAATCTGGAGGATTTTGAACTCTATTTGCGGACAAATTTCGCTTTTGGAGGATTTTTGATTCTGGAGGAAAATCTGGAGGATTTGTCGCCCGATTATTATACCTATGTATTATTCAATTTCATAAATATAACACATTGATGACTAAAAAGGCATTTTCCTGCCCAGCGTCACCCTACCCGTTAGGATATATCACGTCCTTTATCACCGTGAGACTGCAGAATGTCTCAGTCTGTAGCTATATCTACGAGGGCACCAAACTACTGGCGGATCTAAGGAGGACATTTGGGGCAAATGCCTCCGGCCCCCCTTTAGCGCCCGAAATCGACGAAAATTTTCGTGTTTCTAAGGATAAAACGAAAACTGAACAACTTTTATTAGAAAAAGTATCTTTTAAACTGCACACAGCACAGTAGAGCGAAAGGATTCGAAATCCGATGAGTTTTTAGAATTTGGTGAAACTTTTTTGGGGGTATAGCCCCCCGCAGCGTCCAAGACAGCCTTTCTATATCTACCAATAGGATTTGGAGGAATCTGGAGGATTTTTGTAACTGATTTGGAGGATTACAGCTTTCCTCATCTGGCAGCACTGGCATTAACGCATAAACGGCAGAAAGTCAAGGCGGTCAAGGCGGAAATTTGACAGGTGCGGTGTTCTGATATTGCCGTGGATGTGATTACACCTACTTGAATAATAGCTCAGCCGTTTAAAGTATGTTAAATGCCAGATAGTTTTCTGATTTTTCTTGCTTTGAGCTTTCATGTGCTATCACTTTTACCTCAGTGTCTAGCAGGGGCGCGGGAACTTCTTTCCGACTGGGGGGGCACACCATAATAGAGATCAACCTAGGGTACCCCCAAATCTAGTTTTCTCACCGGTTTTAGGCCACTTATTTTTCACCCCTCGGCTTTTTCAACAAAAAAAGAAAACATTTGCAAAAAAAGTGTGGTATTCCGTCTCAAAGCTGTGGGGGCACCGCCCCCACGGCCCCAGAGTTGGGGGGGCAAGCTGCCCCCACTGCCCCCCCGGCTCCCGCGCCTATGGTGTCTAGTCTGGAAGCTATTTGGGAGAGCCCTAAAGGTAAGTAAAAATTGCAAACTGCTTCTAGAATGACTTAGTTGCGCCATATTTGTAGTGAAGCGAGGTAAAGGAGACAGAGGATTCCTTTATAAGGGACATTTAAGAGACAAATAGGGGAAGATTAAGGGAACCCTATGTAAACACGGTTAATGCTGGCTTGTAAAAGCCAGTAAAATCCTTACAACAATGTAATCAGTGAACTCATAAACGGAAAGGAAACAACAAAGCACTAAAGGCAAAAGGAGGATAAAAGGAGAAAGAGAAAAGGAGCTCCATTAACACCAGTAAGTACCGGTTTCTGAGTACGAACGATGCCTTTCACAGCTAGCCATAGGCCATCGAACCCTAGTGAATACGTGGCGCCGCGAGCCACATTACATTATGAACAATGCATCGTCCGAAATGGGCCGCCGACAGTTGTCACCGCGGTAAAGTTCAGGCCGCCACCGTTCCAGGAACTCTCATGGGCCTGTCGTCGGCTCCGAGCGCGCTTGTTACGATACCAACAGGCAGATGCATCAAAGGCCACGCAGCACTCATCTTTTATTGCAGACCAACGACAACGCTCGATTAGCGGCCTTCAGAACGGGGCCGGCAGCGCGCCCTCCTTGAGGCTGCCGGCGCCCGCAGCGGTGCAGGCTTTAATAACTCATCAGGTAGCACATTAGGGCCTGTTCCAGCGCCTCCAGTAGAAATTCTTGACTGGAGGCTCTACCAGAGGTTTCACTGGAGGCGCTGGAACGCAATCTGGAGATTTCTGGAGATTGGCATCACATATACCAAAATAATGACAATTGCTCTCTCTTGAAACGCAAAATTTGTTTTCAATTTTATTTAGAAACATTAACAAAATTATAGCAATGTAATTTTCTTTACATTCAAGTTGTAAAATAATCAGTCAAAAGTCCTTTGTTTACATTCGTGATTGTCACATGTGCGCCATAATTGTAGACCAGAGCCTCCAGAGAAATTTGGACCTCCCAACTCTCTGGATGCTACTGGAGGTTTCTGGAGCTTTGGCGAGAGCTTTCTGGAGCTTTCTGGAGGCGCTGGAACGCTCTCTGGAGGATTCTAGAGCTTTCTGGAGCTTTCTGGAGGTTTCTGGAGGCGCTGGAACAGGCCCATAATCTTTGAAGGGGACTGCGCTATCCCCAAAACAACCGCCCGGCACATATCAACCAATCAATTCAGCAATATTCACCGGTCTGTCCAATCATAATGGAAAACGACGCCAAATGTCAAAAGGAATGATTACGGAGCCATCAACTGATACCGGATCTCGATTATCTAGCAGGAGACAGATAATATCGCAACAGCAGCTTCTAAAGGTCACCATGTATGACATTTCATTACTGATTGTCTCAGAGGCATATAGGTACAGTTTTAGCAACAACGTATAGCAATCTATCATTAGTGGCTTCTGAAATGAGTTTTTTTTTTTATAAATCGGTTGTTTGCGTCTGCGGGCTTACGAAACTGATCCCCCAACTAATTCCGCTGACATTACAGATTGTTGGCAATATCAAAGTACCTTATCTGTTGATCGCTTGCGGTCATCTCAGGTACCCAGAAAGGTCATCATTAGAGTAATGCGCCGCAGTTAGAATATTATTTGCTGTTCGCCATTTACCATAAAACAGTCTTAGGCTTACTTGGGCGATTAGTAATAGTTCAGGAAAAATAATAAGGCACCAAGCTATGAAAATAGGACACCTGCCAATCTCCTTCTCTTTCCCAGCTCTGCCCTCTTCCCTCTCCTGCCTCCGAGTCGCTACCCGTCCATGTCAGATCCATCAACGTGTCATCACTGAAGAGGATTTGTAGATACCTGAATGTTCTACAAACTAGGTGATGTCGCTTTGGCAGTTTCAATTTTACCAGCGCAGATTACTATCAATAAAACACAGCTTCCTATACTATACCGGCGGGCAATCCACAGGCGCTACTTTTCTATCCAGCCTTTTCGTTGTCAATGTCGCCACTGTCGCCTGCAGTTACCTCTGCTACCACGCCTTCCGCCGCCTCCACCTCAGTCCGCCACCACCGTTTGTTGGGCCTGTGTTTGTGGACCAAATTCCGGCACGGCGAACAACGCGAACAACGCGCTACCAGCGACCAGCCCGGCCGTAAATTGACGCTCTTTTTCGGGACGACCGACTCGGAAATGTTTTATGGGTCTGGACAAGGCAGGGCAGTGGAAAATGTGGGGCCCAAACAGTGTACGGCACGCCAATAGTGGAAGAGGCATACTTGAAAAATGACGGTGCGTTAACTCTTGATGACCGGTAGTATTGAACTGATGGATGACAGTGATACTGTAGGTTCTGAACCTAGAGACGATGGATATAAACAGGAACTGTCGGACGAGCATTGGTTACGTAAGGTGAGCCGATGTGGAGGGGCATAGGATACAACTCGGCAGCAGCTCATCAGCAGTGAATATCTAGGTCACATTTTACGGCGAGTGAACGCTTGATTACATACATTATTGATGCCGACACTCACATCACAGTTCACAACACATAAAAACTCCACACTAGACTTACACGCCGCGGGTATGGCTCACCTTCTCGTGGTGATTTTCTTTCCGTTAATGAACTTTGTGCTGGTGGAGGTCCGCTTCACGCCGGCGCTGCCGCCCGGCGAGCCGCCCAGGCTGCTGAAGCTGGTCGACGACACGAAGGTGGTCCCTGCCCCGGCGCCGGGGCCGGCCACCGAGCGCGCCGCCAGCGCCGGGTGGTGCGCCGCCGCCGACGCCATCATGCCGTCGATGGCGGCAAACGAGGACATCATGCCGCCGAGTCCTGCGAACCCGAGCGGCGGGAAGAGCAGTGGCGCGCCGAACAGCTGGTGGCCGGCGGCCGCCGCCGCCGGGTGGTGCCGGCTCCGACTGCGGCCGTGCCGGCTCCGGTGCGGACCGCCGCCCACCAGCGGGTCGCCCAGGCCGGCCGAGAAGAAATCTGTGGGGCGCGAGCGGTGAGCCCGGGGAGGTTAGTGGGCTGGGGGAGCGAGGCCGTGCAGCCGGCAGCGGCAGGCACGCGGACAGAGCAGGCAGACAAGACACGGCACACGACACACGACAGACGGACGAGCTGGCGGGCCGGGCGAGCTGGCTGGCGAGGAGGGGAGAGGGAGAGAGTAATCACAGGAGAGAGGGACCGGAGTCGGGTTACCCCAGTGCGCCGGAACAAACACATGGTGACGGATACAGTTGCAGCCCGGCGTCAGCCGTGCTTATACAGTACCGGGATGCTCGCCAATATTGACAGGGAATCAATAGAAATGGCTTAACTGGTCTGATAACCCCAAACGCCTGTTGGTAACTGGAAAAGTGGATATTTTTTTTTTAGTAATAAGTAGACGCAGGAATATGCCCAAGTTTCAAATTTCATTATAACAAAATTTCCAGCACATCAGCTGAAGTACTCCTAGCGTACCTTGTACCTACTACCTACACAGTACATCCCTCACTACACCATCCTGCGCAGTGCGCGCTCCACCCCTCCCCCGCCCCATTCCACATATGCCTGCCGTCCCACGCCCGGCGAGCCGCCGCGACACCTGTCACCGCGCGCCGCAGCGTCCGTCCCGGTCATTACATCACGTCGCCTCCTCAGCGCGCGATCGATGAGACGCGTCCGACGGGCCGCCGGTCAACTGGCGACCGAAACGAGTCACCGGCGACACGCCACGACGAAATGAATTACACTCATCGTCAGGGGGGGGGGGGGCAATGGAAGCCCGATATCGGTCCGATGACGCTGTATTACCGACTCGATAAGGAAGTGATATTTTATTCATGGCTGGTAATTTCGGGGTAGCGGAAGTGAGCGACCGCTTCACGCGGTGTGTAGAGAATGCAGCGACAGCAGCGGTCGTACTAATTTTGACCTCGTCTGCTCCACGAGGCGTTCTAAAGTTTGAGCTCTCAAGAATCGGACGCCCGGCACCCAGCTGTCAGCCGCTGGACCACAACGCAAAACTTTCAGGCGGCGATCATTGCCATACCACCACCGTCAGCCCCCAGGAACAGGGTGTTAGTCCCCCCCCCCATCGGAACAGCAGCTCAGCCTCCACCCCCCACCCCGTATCCGGCCCCGCAGTCCCCTGGTTCCCCCGGAAGCGCCCGCCGGTCGGCAAACCGCCACCGGCGGCGGTCAGTCGGCCCGGGGCGCCGCAGCGCGGATCCAATGCCAATTAGAGAATGGCCGCGGCCCGGTCAGCGCCGGCGGGCGCCGCTAATGTAATGACGCCGGCTCACGGCGGCCGGTCAGAGTCCGGTTACAGCGCGGCGGGGCAGGGATCCACCGGGCCGCAGCGGGACCGCACGGCGCCACGTGCCGCACGTGCCACGGGACGTGCCGCCGAACGGCGCTCTGATGGTGTTACGGCGCCGTGTAATGCCGTGTAACGGCCGGCACGGGCGCAGCGCCGTGCGGCCTGCGAGGAAACGGTAAAGAGCGCGCTTAGATGTTTCTACGAACGTCTGGCCGGAGATAATATAAGCAAGTGATTCTACCGAACGATAACTCTTGATCAGTTGCGGGAAGCGATTTCCATCATCAAAGTGAATATGAGCCTCCGTAAAGAATAAACCATTATTTCTGGGTAGCTCAAGTAGCTCTAGGCGATTCTAGCCGGGACAAAGCGCTCCTAGCCAGGCTTACCTGGATCTATTGTAGGCATATTCCCATCAAAGCCTGACGGATTGTTCTCGTCAGCTTCTATGCGAGATCAAAAAGCGGAATCAAGTTCCATTAGACTAAGCCTCCTATGTGGCCGTTATGGTCTGACAACCTTTCTGAAGAGGGATTAGCGCTGCATATTACAGGTATTGATCATGTTCATAGAGGATAACATGGACCACGGGACACATTAGGAACAAAGAGGAACTCAGACAGCTCAAAACTACAGCAAAACTTCAGCACGGCCTCAGCAATACTGCGCACTAACTCACAAATAAAAATACTATAACTCCAGCCAAGCCGAAGCGGCGCAGCCCCGGGGTCCCCTGCCGACCCGCGGCGCCCCCTAATGAAACCCGACGTCGGTCTGCGGCGCCCGCTGTTTGGCCAAGACGACCCGACATTTCATCATCGGGGATCGACCGCGCATGCATCGACCGCACGGCGACAGCCACGGAGTCGAGCCATCGAGCACGATCCGACGCTCGACGACGCCCGGTCGACCACAATGAGCGGCCGGGGAGCGGAGTCGCGCTCCCCGCGGATAGCAGCTAGCCGGCGGGCGGGGAGCAGACCTCGAGCGGGCGTCTCACAGCGCCGAGACGCGCCGCAGGTAGGGCGTCATCGATTTCTGACGGCGACACCTGCCGTCCCCGCGGGCCGGCCGTCGCCGTTTTATGGCTCCATTCACCCGAAGTTGACAGGAAGAGGGAGGGGCGCGCCGGGGGACCGTTTCTGACGGCGCAGACACGATAGGCTCGCCACAGTGCGTGTGCTCGCCGCTGGCAGTCGCGTCCGCGGGAGGCTGGTCTCTGTCCAGTGCGAGCTGACAGCCGGAATGAGACAGATAATACCAAGGGAGGGACGAGCGTGGACATTACTCACATCTCGGGCCGTTAGTGTCACTGTGCGTTAGATGCTAGTGATAAAGCTAACGCACACACACGTACACACACGTCAGGCGGTCAGCCACGCCAGCCCGCGCCAAGGGGATATTAGCATGATGCAGCCGTCTCAAAGGCCTGTCTGCCGTCACCGGCCGCCGGCGCTGGGTCCAGTCACCGGAGCCAGCGCTGCGAGCCGTCTCAAATGCCATCTGGTTCACGGAAAATGTCTGGATCTGCCGGGACCCAGCGACCCGCGGCCAGAGAGCCAGGTAAAGGAGCGAGGGGCTAGATGGGAGGTGGCTGGTAGATGGGCTAGTCACTGACGTGCAAAGGTTATGCGGCGGGCGCCAGGCTATCGGGCACATCTCTTCGTCAAAGTTGACTTTACACCTAAAACACTCCCCAAAGCTCCACTGACTTGAGTCGACATTTCTCCACATACCTCGATCAAAGGACTAAAACGCATTGTCTCTCCCACATCCCATCATAAATCAATACCTTTCAGCATCCCTCCCTGCCTCTCCATTGCCCGCTCTGTCCCCTAGCACCCTTTTCGTCCCTCCATCACCCTTTTCGTCCCTCCCTCACCCCTCCTACACCCCATGCCGCGCCGCTCACCATCAAAGAAATCCTGGAACGGGTCTCCGCCGAAGAACTCCCTGAAAACGTCCTGCGGGTCCCTGAACGTGAAGCCACCGCCGCCGAACAGGAAGCTGATGTCGTCGTCGAACAGACTCCCGTGGCCGTGGTGATGGTGCCCGTGGTGGTGATGGTGGTGGTGATGATGGTTGCTCGGTCCACCGTTCTTCAGACCCTCCTTGCCGTACTTGTCGTACACTTTCCGCTTCTTCTCTGTGGGTCGGACGGGGAAGGAGTTAGAAAGGTTCACAATAGAGGTGGGAATGCTTCAGATAATGGAGTCTATCATGGTGGCTGAGCGACTCGAACACACATTCCCCGATGCTAGATGACACTTCACTGATATGCACGGTGATCAATGGCTACGTTATGGCCGATGCTGCTAACCGTCAGCAAAGAAGTGCTTAGCCGACAGTTCGTGGAAAGGGTGTTACATACGACGAAACTCTTCTAAAAGAAACTCTAGCGAATTTTCTTTATTCGCTAGAGTTTTATTTTTTAGCGAAAAGTCTTCATTTTAAGTCAATTAACACATAAACACATGCCGTTTTCCAGTCGGTAGTTGTGTGTGACTGAATGCACTATCTACGATCTACGATCTGTAATCTAATTTCACTTTGTCCAGTAACAGACGCTCAACTCCTTTTAAGCTTGCTATGTCGATAATAACCTCTCAGAGCTGATCTCAAAGCATCGTCTACCCGTATGCTTAATCAAGGCATCAAACAATATCGATGAGACTCGAAAGGTCACGATAATTAGTCAGCATTAAGCCTTCATACGATCTGCATATCAGAGTGAAATAAGCACCGATCTATTCGGACTTAACAATGTCATTACAGCTCGTACAAATCCTGGCTTCAGAAGGGTACAATTCGATACAGCTGGTAGTCCATATCATGCCTATGGAATCGGTTAGGGTTCGCGCCGGGAACTGCAGCAGTTAAAAATACTCGTCTCTAGCATCAGGCATCAGCGCGACTGAGTTTAGTTAGGGGACCAAATAGGTGCTCTTTAGGGATGCGGGGCAGAGCAGAACAGGGGAGGGGGTAGGGGCAACACGACACACAAAGCCTGTCACGCGGCTGCAAAAAGCCATTTGCGGTGGTGCGGGTACTGTTACTCGGCGAAACAAAAATATGAGGGCAGACAGGGCCAATGGATACACGACAGCGGGCGGCAGCGGTCGATGACGGCACTCGGACAAGACATTGGCCCACGGAGCCATCCGGTAAAAATGTGAGGTATCTTGTTTCCTACCCCACTAATGTGCAGCACTGAGCACCAGCATGAAACGGCATCAATCCGATGCTTTTGATCAATTGTAAAGCTTAAGCCACATCTGTATAGGGATCATCATTTCAAAGCACTCAGAGAATGCTGACACAAAAGCAAAATAAACGGAATATTTTTTATATTATTCTGAAACTGTCATACGGCGTTAGATGGGATGTTAAATGTAGGACCTATATGTTTAGACACACGGGCTTTGAGAGCCAGCGTCACTATACTGATACTGCGGACTGCCTAGTGGACAAAGGCACTCATTTCTTCACACAATTACGAGCCTCTGCACTTCAAACAGACACGCAAACACAACAAAGGCGCTATCGTGTTAGTCACACTCACTGGCTACCTCTAAACAAAACTATCCACACGGGCGTTATAGCGGCAGGCGTCGTCTCACTCCTCAGCAAAACGCGCATCAGGGCGCGAGTAAAACCACTGCACAACACACGTTAGTTTGCACTCGACGGCACCGTCACACCGTTACCAAAGAAGCGGAACACGGGCCAAAAGTGGAAGCCGTGAAATCCGTGGGAGCGCTGCGGCCGGCGGCCGGCCGCCGGCGCCGCGCGCGACCTCTGGTCGTACACTCGCCGCTTGGACTCTGTCGGCGCGGCGCCATAGTACGAGAGCGGTCAGGTATAGACGTCACCGTAAAGGTACACGGAGGGGCGCTGTGCAGGTGGCGCTAACAGCGCGTACTCAGAACCATTTCCTAGGTTGGGATACATACGGACCGTGCTACTGTTGGGATGGATGGAAAGCATAAAGGCTCCTATAGCTGGGGGAAATGTATTTGCCCTTTGAGGCAATTTCTGAGAGGCGACTTCCCATATCCATGAAGAAGCTGCACAAAGTATTGACACCATCTTCCTAGGTTTGACCTCATGAAAACGGATTAAAAACCGAGTCGAGGCACAACTGCCACCTCTCGTTACGCTACCACTCACAGGCAGCACCACTGCAACAGTAAGTGCAGCGTTCACTGGTCGTCATTCAAATGAACTCACGTCTGGCCAATAGCCCCCTAAAATTAAGTGCCATCTTACCGTCTATCAACACCTCGTAGGCTTCTGAGATCTCTTTGAACCGTCGCGTGGCATCTTCCTTATTGTTTGGGTTCTTGTCTGGATGCCACTGCAGGGCCAATTTACGATACCTGTGAAAAAAGGAACGAAAGGAAAAAAGTCAGCGAAATGACATCAGCATCAGCAGTGCCACCTGTGTACGATGAAACGATGGCAAAACTAGAGCTTTCAAACTGGCCACCAGGTGGCTGATTCTCGCCAGTCTCCAGCGCTACACCCTCATCACACCACAACAACTAAAAGTGAAAGACACAACTGCTCACAACAAAACACTTGACACACCTCCCAGCCAAGGAAAAGGCAGCCACCCGTCCCAGCTACCACCCGCCTGCGCCACCCGCACACCCCCGTCCTCCGCGCTCTGTAGGCGTCTCTCGGCTCTGCAGGGGAGTCGAGGCGGCGGACACTACCACGTGGTGTAGGGCCCGGGCGGACACCGGCGACAGGTGTGCCAGCCGCCCCCGTCCCCGCCAGGACAGAGAGTCACACAGTAACGCACCAAGGTCTCCGCCCCAGTGGCTGCTGGTCGGTGAAGGACCCGCGTGGGCCACCGAGTAGGGAGGAGAGACTGCGTCGGAGGTCGCGAGGTTGTGGGATGGGAGACACAGCTGGAGCCTTAGAGCCTGGTTATCCCTCTATTTCCTACTCCTTACCTACCATTCTATCCCTTCAATTATCATAACCCATCTCTCCCAATTCTATTTCCTGATTCCTCCCACCCAGTTAATAACATTTATCTTCCATCTCACCTACATAGCATCGCCTCACACCCACACATATATCAGCATATCACCTCCCATCCACACCTCAATCTCGTTCCATCCCTATTCCTACCCCGTTGAAATGTACCCAGTCCCTCTCCAACACCATCACCATTGCTCAGTGACCATGAACCAAAGTGTGCCACTGCAGCAGCCGGTGACACAGGTGCAGTATTTCCCGCACCCCCTCCCCTCCCCCGCCCTCAATGTCTGCAGAATGACTGCCATCTCCTGCACGAGCCTGCAGAGAACATGACTGTGCGCGACCCGAGCGGCGAGGGTTTCCAGCGCCCGTCACAAAAACTATGGAGCGTGCAGAAATCGGTGGTAGCGGAATACCAAACACGACACAGCGCGCTGTGAACAACATCGGAGTGCGCTGAGAAGAACATCAGAGTTCGCTCAGAACAGCAGCGAAGTTCGCTCAGAATGGAACGTAAATATTTGGAAAAGCAAAGCTATGCAGACTCCGTTTGGTTTATGTTTCGAAGCAATGATGTTTGATTAATCGGTTTAAAGCATAACAATAGAAACATTGTACTGACAAAACGTGAATGCGACCACGTCGGCAAATGTGTAATGATAATTCATTCCCCCGGAGGGCTTACTACATTGTAACTATGAATGGTAGTACGATAGAAAGAGCAAAGTACATTTCTATAGCAACATACAGCACACAATACATGTGGCGTAAAAACACAATCCGCCTTCCCAAGATCGGGCAGCTTAATATATTAGGTCAGACTTCCAAATAGCCAACACCGCAAAGAGCAATATGCCTCGATAGTCGATAGACGATATGCCCTTGGTTTTAGGCCAAGGTCTCGCATATCCCTAAGAGCACCTACAGTACAGACAACTTCCATTCCCTGGCAACAATGAATCTTCCTCCTGCCACGTGCTGCCCCCCCCCCCCCCCGTCAGAACACACGGCAGCCGGTGCGGTCCCTGCACCCGGGTCCGGCTGGCGCGGGACGGGACGGGACGGGGCAGCCACGTGCGCAGCCAGCTGCCTCTCAGCAGGAGGCGCGATACCCGAGCTCAGCACTCCACGAGCTACGTAGATGGAGTGGGGAACGGCGAACTTTTGGTGGATCCGGTAGGGAGGGGAACGAATCTCTGATAAATCCCAAGGAATGTAACTTAACATTTACGTATGAGTTTTAAAATTTAGACACTAACGTAGGTAATTTTTGGTGAAATCAGTCCGACTAAGAATATATGCACAATCACTCCGTCAAGCCGTTAAGCCGATGAGTTGATTGCTAGTTAGAGGCACCTAACTCTTCATCATCTGATCCCATCAGATACCCCGCTCGCCCATTCGATTCATCAGTCTGGCAGCCGCACCGTCTTATCACGGCGCTTCGGACGGCCGTTTCGTGACACTCTCCGACGTCCCATTCATTTCCGCTGGCTCTCTCCATCAGACGCGTAACAACCTTTGCTGAAGTATCTTAGCGGCTGTCTCACCACCAGTCCTCGGTCAACTCCCCTCCTCTACCCACCACTCCGACGTTCTCTCGAACAAGTGACGCCCTCAGGCAGACCCTCAGACGTCTCAGTTGGTCGGTTACCCCGTTCAGACAGCCGTTTTGTCTCGGCCGTCCTGTCATTTGTCCGAGCCCGTCCAATGGTTTGTCTAAGATGAGAACGGGGAGCCAGGCGACTGCAGCCACAAAAAGCCTGGCCCGCGGAGCAGAGTAAAGCAGGCTAGCAGCTGCCAAGCTTGCCGACAAAATGAACTTGAAATTCCAACTTATCTTACGCTTGGCTTTACTTCATTCAACTCGAAGTGAACGAAACAATCGTCTCATTTGTTTCTGCCCCAACTCATAAAATTGCAATACGAGCCACGTTTCAGTTTACCCATTATAAGACATTCACTAGCATAATCCTGCCTAAAGTAAGTCCCGCTTCCCTCGTCCATCTCCCTAAAAAATCTACTCGAGCCATTTCCCAAGTTTATCTCAGTCATCATTGTAGCCTTCAAAATATCTACCTGAAACACTAGAATCTCTTCAAAGTTCAAACCTTGGGAGCCAGAATTGAACCTATCCTCTGGACCTCTCCACCCAGCTCCTCTACCACCCCAGTCACTACTCCTCCACCTCAAGGCTCCAGTCCCCCTACCGCATCCTTTCAACCCTCAGTCATTCCGTACTTAAACCATCAGTCCATTAATCCCTCAGTTCCTCAATCCCAATCCCTCCACCCTTCCCGCGCCCAATACTCACGCCTTGCGGATCTGTTCACTGGGCGCGTTCCGGGGCACATCCAGCACCGTGTAGTAGTCCACCATGGTGATGGCCGGTGAGGTCAGGTCAGGTGAGGTCAGGTCAGGCGGGCCGGGCCGCGGCGCGCGCCTGAAACACACAGAACGGGCGGTGTGGTCAGTTACTGACATCTCAAAAAGGTCACTGACATTGACGCGGTTTGAAGGGATTAATTACTACACATTACAGCTAAAATCAATAAAAGAACTGATTGCTGTCACTATAAGGGTGTCACAACTCACAGCCATTGCCACTGGGAAATTTAATCGTTCCTGAACACGACAAAATACGGTCACAACGGCATCCCGCTGTAAACGGAGACACTTATGACAGAATCACTCCAAATTCCTCCGACAAACACGCTGTGTCAGTCACTGACATTTCGGAAAGGACGGTTAGAGCGGTCGGTATATGGTGTGAAAGGTCAACGCTACACACGGGGTTACACAAGGCCAAAGGGCAGGGACCACCGACCGCAAAGCTTCACCACACCAAACAAGAAATTGCACTATTCATGAGGGGTAACTATACCGTTTGCTCACAAATATAGGTGTTACACGCGCAGTAGGTAAGGCAAGATTCATGTGAAGGATGAAATGGTGAGCAATGCGCATGGCACACAGCATTGAATCGATTTCTTGCGAGACAAAGGACAAGTAATGATAATTGTTCAAAGCATGGAACTCAGTATAGACCTCGCTATACATATGTCTGTTTGGAATCAAGAGCGGACTGTGACTAATTGTTATTCAATTGTGCGCATTGGGGAAACCATAGATCAGCGAGCTGCGTGCTGCCAAGTGGTGGTTTGGGTGTGTGATGTCAAACTGAAGATAAAGCAGTGATCTGATGGGTCGATAACTTGTACAGACGCAAAAATTGTCTGAGTTGCTGACCAAGTTCGTCTATTATCCCGTCCAATTCGACAAAGAACGGGACTATCAGATTCCAGGGATTTCTTGATTTGAGACTGACTTCGTCGCATGGAAACATCACCAGTAACAACCTAAAACCGATCACCTATATATCCACCCATAAAAAGTGTCATCAAGGCAAATGTCCCCAGCAACGCCCATCACAAAAACGCCCAGTTCTGTGAGCTTTTCGGTGCGCCTCAATGCAGACGTGATGTCAGGACCCACGACGCTGGCACCCCTCTCAATTTTCCCCAGCTCGGACCTACCCAAACCATGCTCCTCCCGGTGTGTCAGATCGCTGTTACCGCCGCCGATCTCTCTCGGCAAAACACACACCGCACGGCGCACAGTCACAGCCCCATCGCAGGCCGCAGGGTCCGACACTGACCCACCACTCGCCAGCGTGGCCTCGCCCATACGCACTGAACACTACGCCACGCCCGCACAGTCCTATCTCAGTCTCATCGTCCTCCACTGACCAGCCGCGCGGCCGTCTCACTCACAAACCGTACACCGCTATCCTGTGGCAGTAGCAGCAGCGGCGGTGGCGGCGGCGGGCGGGCCGTATCGACCCCAGTCAGCTGAGTGGATCGGCCCGCCGCCACCGCTACCGGCAGTCACACGCGTCACTCTCTCTCCACACTGACCCACTGCCGGTCAGCGGCCTACGGGCACCGTCCAACACCGGCGGTAGTCCATGCAGTACACGCTGTAACCCGTCCTGACATTTCCGCAGGCCGCTGAAATCACACGGATCCCGGCGGCTCGTGTTTCCGCCCGGCCGCTGAGCGGCTTCCACAGAGCTGGGGTCGCTGGCCCCGTCACCCCGACCGCTGAACGCGCTGCATCGTCACGCAACCGGTGACGTCAGGTATCGCTACGTGCTAGACTAGACGATAACGGCTCACTGCGGTAGACGGAGCACCGTAAATACGGCTTCCAATCGGCTAATGTCGTGAGGGATGACAACGGGCAGCCGAGTCCCTTCGACATAATATACCTGCTCTAATCACTTTCTGGGAGAAACACGAGTAAAATGCTCCAAAAGTTATATAATTGACTACACCCTACAATACCATCATTTGCCGCCATCCTGCTACCCTAGAGTCGCTACCGTTGAGTCGACCTAAATCCTCACCACCTGAAGAGCACACGTGGAGCGGCTTTCAGCACAGCACGCGTGCCCCTCCGCCCGTCCGCGGCCGCTGCCGTGCCGGCATACGATAAGCAACGGTGAGCGGAATCCACATTACAGATTGCACCGTGCAGTCCCGCTATATTCCGCGGCCTCTGCCGGTCGTCTGCCGCCCGGTCGCTCAGTGTGCACGGCCGGCCGGTCCGGTACGGCCCACGCGGCACCGCTGTTGGCCGAGCTCGGCTGAAATTGGCACATTATCGTCCCCAGATAGTGGCGGACGGTGTTACGGAGCCGTCGGACGGTGTTCAGAGTCGGAGGACGGTGTTCGAAGTCGGAGGAGGGCGCCGCCAAATGGGCTCGACTGCTGACCGGATCTGTAGCCGGAGCTCACTGCACCTTACGAACCGGCGTTCATCAGCTCAGTGGACCATCAGTGGACTGGTTAAACCGGGATACAGCAGTAGTTGCAGTCGCAGTAGCAGATGTTAGATCTACTTTTGGAACGAGAAGCGGACGGCGACTGGGACGGTTCGGATAAAGTTCAAAACTAAGGAAATTTGTCTAGACTTGCAACAATAATGGAGTAGCTTTAGACTTTCAAAGCAATGCTAAATGCATATCGCTATGAGAAATATCTGACAAACTGGCAAACCCGAATCAGCCGACAGCCGATTAGCGGGCACGGTTTCGGACACCCAGACGATACCGGGTCCATGACACCCGAAACGGTCTGATATACCGCACTACTCCCCCCGGACGATAACATGGCACCTTCATTTGTCTGCTGTCGGCAATTTTTGCCGCCATTTTCACCCGTTCCACACAATTACAGGACCATTAATCACCGTAAATCGAAACGAATGGCGTCTAGTTAACGGATCGCGAGGCTGAAAGGCAATGCCGCTTTTTCACTCTGCCACCATTTGTAACGATATTCACAGCTCCTAGAGGGCGATAGAGATTCACAGCTGCGAACGGGGGCGGAGAAACCCTACTGTAGTGACTATTTAATGAATAAAACACGGAACTTATCGGTCTGAAGAGAGTTTCGAAGATCAGCTTAGCATTCAGATCTCTTCCCACACGGTATTTCTCACAAACTCGACCAGCACTGCCTCATGCATACAAAATGTTCAGCCTAACCCCAAGCCCAGTTCATACGGAGTTGCGCCAGTTCGATGGCCACTTCACTTTATGAAACATCCAATACATGAACCGCTGAAACAAGTGCCCTTCTGTGGTCTGTACGGAAGAAGACTTCACAGCTGAGCGGGCGCAGGCACGGGCCGAGCGCGGAACAAAGCCCACCCGCCCGGAAGTAGTCGCCGCAGACGGCGCGCCGCCCCACCAACAGAGGCACCTCTGTTGAGCCCCGCCGTCGAGAAACACCCTGTCAAACACACCAGCCGCCAACAGAGGCCGCATTCTAAATAAACCGGGCCGTGACGCCGCAGCCAGGGACGGGGTCCTTTGATCAACGGCCGCCCCGTCCTGCCGACAGGGCGCGGAGAAAAAGTACCCATCCTCCGCGCTGTTCCAACGCGTAACGCATGTCCTTTGGGTCCCGACTCTGCAACAAAGGCTGCTCAGCAGACGAGCGGACACTTCCGGTTCCGTCAGAGAGAAGATGGCGGCGGTGGTCCACCCGTTTCCGGACGCTGAGAGCCAGTTGGGAGGGCGGGCGGCTCGAGGAAACGATGTTTTGCTGCAAACAGTGGGAGAGACCGGGGCCGGACAGCGCCAAACTGCAAATGTCGGACGTGATTGGAGTTCCACAGTGGGAGTCGATTTACACGGAGCCACTACCAAACAACGAACTGGACCGGAGAGGCGCGAACCAATTTGGTACACGCCTGAGGAATCATTCGCACCATTTAAAACATCTATGCCAAAGGCACTCCAGGATCAACTCCCACCTTATTCCAAGGCGTGGGGAGGGGAACCAGCCTTACATGATAAATGCAATGTCTGCAACAGCCATTTCCAGAAATGCCATTCCGGATGCTGCGCGAGCCTATTAACTGTGAAGCATCAAGACTGAGGTCCGGTCAGGTCGGGGTCAGTCGGGTCAGATCATTAGGGGTGTGCTCACAAAAACGTAGAGAAAGAACATGGAGACGAGGGAGATGGGGAGGAAGAGAGAGAGAGAGAGAGAGAGAGAGAGAGAGAGAGAGAGAGAGAGAGAGAGAGAGAGAGAGAGAGAGAGAGAGAGAGAGAGAGAGAGAGAGAGAGAGAGAGAGAGAGAGAGAGAGAGAGAGAGAGAGAGAGAGAGAGAGAGAGAGAGAGAGAGAGAGAGAGAGAGAGAGAGAGAGAGAGAGAGAGAGAGAGAGAGAGAGAGAGAGAGAGAGAGAGAGAGAGAGAGAGAGAGAGAGAGAGAGAGAGAGAGAGAGAGAGAGAGAGAGAGAGACGCCGTTACGCCCCCATAACGGTACTTTCCCCAACGCCGTGCCTCGCCTCTCCCAATTGCTCACTCATTGGCTCACCATCCCATCCTCACAGCGGGAATCGTCAGAAACGCCCACTGCACTCTATGTGGCAACAGCACGCACCATTCCAGGAGTGAGCCGATCGGCCATCCCTGGACATTAGGCCGGACACGCACCCGCTGAGCCGGGGCCCATCGGTGCCCCGTCAGTTGGGCCATCGGTGCCCGGTCAGACTGCCCATCGGTGTGCGGTCAGACTGTCCATCGGTGTGCCGTCAGGCCGTCTATCCGCGTGCGCGGTAGACGGTCCATCGGTGTGCGGTCAGAAACTGGGTCACCGTGTTTGTCACGTGAGGTCTGCCGCGATCGGCTGGCGCTCGGAGCTATCAGTATCGACCACCCTAGAGGGAGGGAAGGGTTATGGCGAAACGGAGGGAGACGGTCTTCGGCAGGCCGGTGGTCTGTGAATTGGCAAAGGAAAGTCAGTCTTCAGCGGTTGACGATAAGTTGACTATCAAGATCAGCAGGCAATCGGCCAATCCTCAGCGGCCAATCCCATTGGACTGAGATGGATTGCAGTTGCACACTAGGCACGATTAAGTCAGCAAAT